CAACTATTTTAGGATGCAAAGTTGATAATTTCCCCTTGAAATACCTTGGATTGCCTCTATCAAATGAGAGATTGTCGAAATCTGCTTGAGACCCTGTTATTAAGTGAATTCAAGATAAACTAGACCTATGGAAATATAAAACATATCTTGTGGAGGAATGGTCACTCTTATAAATGCATCACTAGCCAATTTACCAATATATCAGATGTCTATTTTGGAGATGCAAAGTTCAACGGTTAAGGTTGTGGAGAGAATGATGTGTTACTTCCTTAAGGACTCCTTCAATGATGATTGAGAATATCATTTGGTTAATTGGGAGAGAGAGTACGATGGGAGGGTGGATGTGGGAGTCTCATATCTTTTTGGTTTAAAAAATGACTTGGTGATAAACCTTTGAAGGTGAGATTTCGATATCTATTTGCGAGGATAGCTAATCCCATAGCGAAGGTAACAGACATGGCAAATGGGGTGGGTTGTAGTCGAGTATGGCACATCGACTGTAATTTTATAAGGGTGCATGATATTGTTCTTATTGTTCTTATGCAAGTGGATGAGTTGCTTCATGAGTTGGAGACTGTCTACTTATCACCAAATGCTGAAGATTAGGTGGTATGGGAATGGGAGAAAGATGTCAAATCTACCTATCGTTTGATGTTTTACGATCAATTGAGATGGTCTTAGCCAGTGTTGAACAAATTATGAAAATGGGCTATACCCAACTCCAAGGTTTTATTTAGGTAGTTGCTCAAGGGAAAGTATTAACAGTGGATGGAAGAGGGACAAAATTTTGCTTAACGTAATTTTTTATGTACAAGAATAACGGAGAAACAATTGAACATCTCTTTTTTGTGTTACCCTTTTGCTAGAATCATATGGGAGTAGGCCTTCAATCAAGTAGGGTTTTGCTTATTACTCCCTGGTTTAGGGGTTGTAATTTGAAAAATTTTCATGGGGGTGATGGAAGATCTGGAAGGAAAGCAATAGAAGGGCGTTTGAGGGGAGGCCTTGTCAGTGGAAAATATAAAGCATTGAGTTCAACACGGTCTATGGAGCTGATTTTCTATCACGAAAGAAGGCTAGAGCATTAATGAAGTGGATGTTGCTCTAAATCTTAAGGTGCTAGCCATGCAGTCCTCTTTCGTCACTCGACCTAAAATGAGATGGTATCCTACTGTGGTAGTTTGCTTTAAGCTTAATTTTGACCTAAAATGAGATGGTATCCTACTGTGGTAGTTTGTTTTAAGCTTAATTTTGACGGAAGCTCGTTTGGGAACCCAAGTCCTGCGGGTTTGGACGGCTTTGTTTGTGATTCTTCAGCCAATGTTATTTTTTGTTTTGCAGGGCTTTGTGGGTAGTCACAGCCAACCAGGTAGAATTCATAGCTTTACTCGCAGGCTTAAAGTTTTGTAGAGAAAGGCTGCCTATGGGTCATTTTATCGTGAAAGGCATTTAACTAAATGCCATCAAACGGTGCCATGAGGAGCAAAGGATGCCATGGAGGTTGAAATCATTGTGGCTATATGTCATTGATTTTGGGCTTTTTTTAACATATACTTTTGTCATGTCTATAGAGAGGCTAACAAGATGATCGTTGGGTTTGTTAAGAGGGGTGTCACTTTGTTAGACTTGGAGGTTTATAATTCCTATGCTTTTTAAGTCTAATTTAGTGGTTTTGCTAATCAATAAAATTTCATAGCCTTGACAAAAAAAACCTTCTTTTTTTTAATATCATACATCTCAAGGTCTAGATGATTAGTTGGAGAATTTTCCGACAATAGAACAATCTTTCCTGTTGGGTTTTTACTGTGCACTTTTCTATCGTATAAAACTGACACCTTATATTAGCAATTTGCTTGTAGGAACTAGTGCAAAGAGTCCATATGCTTAGATCCTAGTTATCTAATACTCAAAAACGAAAAACAAATCTAGGAAATCCCAAAAAATATCAAATATTTATATTTTTCAATGATGTAATGTAAGGTGATGCTGCACTCTTTGTATCTCACTTCAGCTACATCAGCTAGCCAAACTCTTCCTAACTAGCTGGCGTGAAGGAAGTCACATAATAAGATTAAAGAAAACCAATAAATGTGGCAGTAATTAAGAGCTTGCTCCCGTAGCCATCAAAAGCATGAGTATCTCTAATTTATGAAATCTTTTTTTCACCAAATATTATAGGCCCAGCCTGGGCTGGCTTGGGCCAGGTCCGGGCCCATTGCAAATTAAGTTTTTTATTTAAATAATATGGCAAACAAAAGAGAAGCGGTGGGTAGGGTAGGGCCATAGTATGTGGCATGGGCCTCACTCATCCCGGTCACCGGGCCGAGATTTCAACTCCTGGCCCTAAAAATTGGATTTCAAGAATGGTGCAAATTTAATGTATCTAAATAGAATGTTGAGCGAGTAGTCAATATGGAAAATCTCTACGGCTCTAAATCCATTTTATTTCGATCATAAAGGTCCAAAAGTTGACTCTCCAAATTTTTTAGTCATTTTATCCATGTTCCACATGGTGGAGGCTCCGACTGTGCAAAAACAGGATCCCCCCTTTCTCCAAATACATTTGTGTTGAGAAAATATACCAAACAAATGATGCAAGGCTCAATCGGTCCTTTTTTTTTTCTCAACATAGAGTTTGGAGATGTAATGTAGTCGTAGTAGTTAATCTGAAATGTCTGTACCATGGTTCATCTTCAATGTCCATTCTGACCAAGAAAGTGTATACTGTGTTTGCCTCTTCTCCAACATTCACTTTTATGTACATTAGTCTTTCTCTTAACTTTTGGGTACATGCTCAATTTTGATGTTCAATTGGTTATGACTTTATGTATAATTCTATTGTCAGTTTTGTATATGTGGCAATAGTACTAACGAACCCTACAAAGAAGTCTCTGACTCCTTTCTCATCAAAAGATAGAGGCCCAAATCCCAACTAACTTTACTTTTTTTTTTTTTTCCTTTTTCCTTTTTTTATTGTCAGTTTTGTACACTTGCAACATGAACTAAAAAAGATAAAAAGGAAGTTTATGCTACTCTTCCACTTTCAGGGATTTTGATGGTAGATAAACCCCCATCATGTATACCAAACATTTTCTAATTTTCCAATGAGCCATGATTATATCAATAGAAAAGGTCCCAAATTTGGGAGAGAATTTGGGTTTCTCACCAAATTCCAGCCAAAATGTCACTTTGGTTACAGTACAGATTCAAAGATTGCGTACTGAAAGTTTAAGGGTAAGTATAGGCTATTCACATCATCATCATCATCATCTGAGCATTATCTCAACTATTTGGATTGGCTACACGAATCATGTTCTACTATATGTTATGCACGAATAAACCAAATTAAGATTGTGATACTTGACTTTTAGGAATTGGATTAACAAAGACAGTTGAACTCTTTATGTCCTGCATGAGATTTCTCGTGCATAGTAATTGGGCTCAAATGTACTCTCACTGGAGGTAGAATGGTGTATGGTACGTCCATGATGTCCATACAAAACCATTAGCCTCATTCTCATTGATAACAGAGAGATGAACCATGACTAGTGAATGTCCAGGGTTGCAAACAATGGTGAATCTCCACCATCTGTTATCATGAACGGAGGATTGATGTCCACTGGTGTATGGTTGAATTTCCAACTTTTAACACCTAAGACTTCCAAAATCTAAGACAAAATCAACCATGGTTCATAGGCTTAATAGTTGGAGAAAAGAAAAAAAGTTTGTAATATATAACAGTCATTATAGAACAGAATATCGGCAGTTGTAATGGGATATGAAGAAAACAGGAATGTTAGCTGCCACAACACCCATCATGTAAATTGCTTTTACGAAATAATGCCTCTCCATTGATTCTTTAAAATAAAAAGCTATATTATTTGTCTCATTGATTCAAGAACCAAGGACTTGGGCTCGGACTTCGGCCCGGACTCACCCGAGGCACTTGGACGTGGCAAGAGCGCAAGGTCCAGTTCAAAACCTAGGACTCACCCCAAGTCTGATTAGGTCAGGTACCTATTGTGAATTTTTTGCATAAAATAAACGGAATCGAACCACAGACTCGCGCTAAGAACCTAGCGAGCCTAAGGCCGAGTACTTGTTTTCAAGCACTAGATACATCCATTTAAAGACATTATATCCATTAATTTCAAAATAATATCTGTCACAATAGTATTTTGATAATGTAATCACTCATTAATCTTTGCAGTGGAAGGTCTATGACTCGCCCTAGTCTGATTCAATCATGGACCCATTGTTTATTTTTTGCATAGTATAAGCAGAGTCGAACCGCAGACTCGGACTCAGCCCTAGCAAATTCAAGTCCAAGGCCAAGTACTCGTTTTCAAGTGCTAATTACATCCATTGTAAAGGCATCATATCCATTAATTTCGAAATAATATCTGTCACAATAGCATTTTTTATAATGCAATCACTCATTAATCTTCCTATTACAAAAGGATACCCAAACCACAAATAAATTACATGTGATCCTACATCTCAGCCGTTCGATCATAATCAATGGTTAGGATGGCTCGTCACGCCAAAATACTATTCCATTTTTATTTTTTTGTATAAATTCTTTTTAGCTGATATTTGTAGTGTACTATCTCCTTCCTAAGATAAAGTTAACGTAATTAAATAATTTTTTATAAAAATAAATGATCAAAATACCCTTACAAATTTCACGGGTATTCTAACAAACCATCATTGGAGGACAGGGAACTTGGAACGTAACAACAAAAAGAGCACCAAAGTAAACAGGCACCAAAATGTGGTTGTGTGGTGATGGAGCATGCGGCGCCAAAGCTTCAAAGTCCAACGCCCTAATAAAAACACCTTTTGATGTTTGGATGAATAACTCCATCTAACCCTAATTCTTTCTGGTCTTTGCTTCTCGAATATGTGGCTTACTTGCTCACCCGTGAACCAGCTGGGTCCCTAACTTCTACAAGCACCAACAACAATCCAAAACCATGTTTGTATTTTACAGTCTTAGAAAGAGGGTGTTGTCATTCAATTCTTTCATGCATGTGACAGAGAGAGAGAGAGAGAGCAGTCATTCAATTCTTTCGTGCTTGCAGTAGAGAAAGAGCAGTAATTCACTCCTTGTATGCATGTGGTGCAGAGAGAGAGAGCATTGAATCCCTTCATGCATGTGGAGTTGTGGTTGACTGGTTTTGCATGAACCACATTAAGGATCAGTCCTACTGTCCATATGCAACTGACCAGAAAGCTGAGAAGCCATTATTATTCTTATCCTAGAAGAGAAGCCCATCACAGAATTCTAGAGAAAGGAACGAAGTGACCAATAAATAATTGCAAGAAGCAGTGGGCTTTGATCAATAAAAGGCCAGCATTGAACCCCAATTGCTCAGAGTATCAGCCATGGCCAGATTCAGGGTACCCCTGTTTCTGATACTTGGTCTTTTTGTCTGTCATCTCTGCTATTGCGAACAGGTAAAGAAGCAGGAAACAGCAGTAATTGTTGGGACAGTGTTCTGTGACACTTGTTTCAATGGAGACTTCTCAGAGAGCAGCCACTTCATTCAAGGTTCAGTTCTATGTCCCATGAAAGAGGTTACATCATTGATGAACATTCATAGTTCATCTTTACAATGAACAAGGTTTCATCATTAATGAAAATCCATAGTCTCTCTCTCTCTCT